GGAGAGTGAACCAGGAGTTAGCATTTCATCAGAAAAATTATGAACAGGCAATGCTGAGGGAGCAAGGTGGGCCACAAAGACAGAGCAGAGCAAGAGACTATTTTGAAACAATCTGATTTACAATGCAGAAAATATACAATTGTAGCTGTGCTCCTTCCATTGAAATAAAATTAGTGGTTTGTTGGGTGGGCAACTCACGTAAAAGTTCAGTGACAAAAAGACTTAATGGGGAAAATAAGACAGAAAACTTAAAAACAATACACCGTCTACGGGGATACTATTTAATTATATAAAAGGCAGGTAATAATATACATTTCTCTCTTTCTAATCAGGCAGTGAGGCATAAACTGTTGGGACATACCGCTCGGGGCCACTGCTGTCTGGGACTGAAACACTGGCATTGTACTGCATTGGTCATTGGCGTTCGTGGATGTTGGCAATGGGCATGGGCATTCAATCAGAAGTTGTCAAGTAAGGCACCCGTTTGGCAACGAGCACATTTTTGGGCATAGCCAACCAGGGTTTTCACATGGGCGTTCAGGGGCGGATGGGCCAACGTCATGGTGGGCAACGCAGGGGCAAGTCGATCCAGTACATGGGCAACGGAGAGATATATGGCCAAAAAAACAAGGAGAGGGAAGAGGGGGAAAAGCAATAAATTTTAATTTAATACAAACTATACTCATTACAAGCTTAAGTTGTTCTGAAGACTTAACACAATAACGGATAGCTACATTGACTGTGGCTTAACAGTTATGGACCGTAATAATGAGTTACTTGGCCTAAACTACTTTTGAACGTTAAAAGTTGCAGTAGCAGGCTGGCTCGTGAGGGTAGACACAAGATCTGTAGAGATTCAGTTTACTGAAATCCTGGGAAATAGGGAAAGCCACTACTAATCCAGGAATTATGTGTATGAAATCTGGATTTAGGTATGTGAAATTTTAAGTACACTAGCTTCAGAAAGGTCAGTTAATGTACAAGTGATTACTACCCAGTCCTTGCTTACACCTCAGATCTAGTAACTAAAGGTTGACAGTTATAACATTCTACAAGAGTTTATTTTACAATATAATGAAAATATCAAACACAATGTGAAACAATGTAGTGCCAAATAATTCATTAAATACGAATATTACTAGATTGAAAAGATTATGCACAATAAAGATATTGCTTTTTACAAAGTTTGGTGCTAAACTATAAAGCTTAGATAATGCTAAACGTGTCTATTCACAAGAGTCAACCCACTAAAAATGTGTAAATATATTTAAAGTTATATTCACGTAAAATTCCTTCCAGATGAGAATGTAGCTACCATGCTGTTTCTATATATAAAATACTCATATGAATCTTTCTCTATTAGAGAAATAAGCCTAGCGCACAAAAAGCATTGTATACCTAAATAAAGAATAGTAATCTGTAGTGTCTTCTAAAAACAACTATTTTTAACAATTTTTAAAGTATAAAAAATTATGCTACCATTCTTTGTAGTTACTGTAAAATAAAGGATAGGAATCTCATATTACTTTATGTCTTAATTCTAAGAACGAATTGTGAGACTTGAGTTTAAAGAGGATTATAAGTGGCTTAGACTAGCTTATTACTTAAATAATACATTACTAGAAATAAATTCTTAATAGTATGTTTTGTAAAATAATCAGGGTTTAGTGTGTAAATACTCACGTCTGTACGGAGTGCTTTAATATTTTTGCCACCTTTGCCAATTACTGCTCCAGCATTCTTTAAAAAAAAAAAATGAAGTAGTTTAAAGTTTCCCAAATAGCTTCAATAAAGAATAAACTTTTTTGGGGGGGGGGGAGGGGGAGGAAATGGGGGTTAATGTAGTCAGTAAATTGGGAAATAAACATACTTTGCTCTGAAGCAGAATGCGCAGTTCCACCATCTCATCAGTGTTCCTTGACCTTTTGAAGGCCTGTTCCTCTTCTATATCCTCAGCTGGTCGTTTGCCTAATATTTAAGAGAATAAATTGTTTACAAAAATTGTTTTTTAATGGATTCTTGAAGCACGGAAGCTCATGCATCTTTATTTCATGCACCGATAATTTATTTATCTATCATACACCTTACCACCATTACCAAAATAGCATTGACAAAGCCCTTTAAGATTGGGGAAGATAAATATTTCAAATGAATAAATGAACTATTTTGGGCCCTTTAAATTAAATTTTAATCAAAATTATAAAAATAAAGATGTTACAAAAAGAAAAATCGACAGCAAAACAAATTTACACTAATCCCTCAACCCTCACTTGGAATACAGGGAGCATGTTTCAAGTTCTAGTAAACTGTTATGGGGCTCATAATAAATCCTATAATTAGTATTGTAAATGTATTATAAATGTAGTATTATAAATTAGTATTGTAAATTTTATCATTTATAAACTTACCATTTGTCTCTGTGTTAGTAAAGGTCTCCTCTTGCTGTTCAGTCTCCATTGTTTTCAATCTTGAAGACAAAACCGATTAAATATAAATATACCGAAGTGCTCAAACAGAATCATCAGCTTTTAGAGAACATGACAGAGGTTAGCAACGGGTTGCCAGCACTTACCAGTATTATATATCTTTGCCAAGTAAATCTTCTGGGCGGGATCAACAACCCGTAGCCTATGAAAAGCAGCATACATGGAGGGATGATCTGGTTAATTTACAGGGGAGTATGTGTATCTAGTCAGTCTTGACTCCTGGCAACTACACCGACAAGGATTTTTCATATTTGTCACTGCATTTTTCCTAGAGCTGAGGTAAAGTGACTAGTCCAAAATGACCTCTATCCCTAAAGTAGGACAAAACTCAGGTTTCCTGGCTTCTAGTCCAGCACCTTAACCACTAAACTGAACTGGCTCTCAATTTACAGGTTAGGCTGCAAGAATTAACATAAAAAGTGGATCAATAAATGTATTTTAGCACATATATTGTTACTCTGCAACATTTATTCCTTTGATTAATTTTATCAACAGACCATGCTGTATTTTGGCACAATTTTAACAATTTTAATTTCAATCTGAAAGCACAAATATTTATGGTTAAGAAAAAATATCACATTTCTGCTACTTTTTTTTCTTACCAAGTGTAGGTTGCCTGCTTTGCTTGCTAAAATTTATTTCTTTTTATGTATAATTCTTTTAACAAGCAAATTACATTGGAACAGGTCATCAAAGTAAATTCCAGCATATGTAATTTTTATAACGTTTTTACAGAATATCTATATTGTTTAAATAGGAAGAACAATGAATGTAAGCTCAACCGAGAATTCTAAAATATGATCTGAACTTTTTTAGATGAACTTGCAAAATTAATGTACAATTAGGACTCAAAATGATCTAACACAGAAACCGAAATTAACCGATAATTTTAAATTTGTAATGAGCTTGATATTGCTACAAAGTACAATATTTTTTCAAGTTTAGTACAACCTCATTACAACTGGTAAAATATGCTCACTGCACACAAAGGATTTTGGTTATCTGCGGGGGAGGGGGGAAAGAAATACTATTCACAGTCCTTTTAGTAATCGACAGTAGCAACAGCTATATTAGAAGGACGCGTTAAGCATGATTAACTGTTAACTCCTGGTTTTAGGCGAAGAAAAGGTGCCTTAGCTATAAAGCAATGCTCTGTTCAAAACCGATCACCAGCTCGCTCTCAATCACGCGAGTTACGAGCAGCGGCTCGTTTCCGGCTGACAAGGCGGGCCTGATTTAAACACCTTATCCTAAACGACTCCCTCCCTACCACGATGATACAAAAGGTGAAGCCTTGCCGCGACCATAATCTGTGCAACCTCGGATGAAATGCCACTAAAAATGGCGGCTTTAACGCCAGCTTGAGCAGTAATGGCGATCACGAGCTGCTAAGGAGGAGTCCGGAGCGGAAGAAGTACCGCCACGCGGCAGCTCCACAAACACGGGATTCGCCGACTCAGGAGAACACAAAAGATGCCTGGAACCTCTTTGCCGATTTCCCCCCCCCCCTTTTCCCTGGGAAACCGAAGCGGGCGCTGGGGCCGACCGAGGTCCGTCCCAATCGACGGGGCCACCAAGAAAAGGGAACGCCTCGCGCTCTCTCCTCCTCACCCCTCCCAACTACAACCAGCCGCCATGATTCCTGCAGCAGGAGGCACTGGGACTACCAGGCTTAAAGCCCGTCACCTTCTTGCCAATCATGCGGCACTCGCAATCGACGGTGGAGGGTCAAGGACAGCCGCAGGCCGAAAAACGCCTCTCGCCGTGGTGTAGTAACCTCGGCTCACCCCTCACCCGAAGACATTTACCCATTTTAAGCACGTACCGGTTAATTTCATAGGCCAAAGTATGTGGACACTACATATACCGTTCCCACCAACAAAAGATGGAAGGGCGTTAACGGTCAGTCCGGTAAGCTCCCGGTTTCTTCACCAGGCGACGGACTAAACGCCGCCGAAACTGCCTCCCGCTGTACGATAAGCGCTCAAAAAGCAAGAGCGCGCGGACTCACCCTCGTTACTATCGCTCCTATTCGCTCGCCTGCTGAAACCTCTGAATCCTTATTGGCTGTCACAGGTGTCGTTCTTTACCTGGGGACACTATTGAGTATCCCGCCCTCCGTGGCAACTGTCGGCGCGCCGCTAACCGCTAATTCTGCTTCAGGCCGTTAAAGCGGCTGACGCTGAAACGTACCAGTAAATATCTCCTTCCACCTATCTTTTCTGTTTCCTTTCGCCCCTGTTTAGAGAGTGGGTACTTACTGTGGGGAGGGGGGAAAGAAGTTTTTTTAAAAAATTATCGATCCCAACCGCTTTACAGTCGTTACCGCCGCTTCAAGGAGAGCGAAATTAACCCTAACCAGCGCGCGCGAGGGAAAAACAAAATGGCGTCGGCGAAAACTCCGCCTCGTCCTCACAGTCGATAATGGACAGGGGGAGGAATTCTCGCGAGAGCTGAGGAAGTTTGGTTCGCGCTTTGGCGCTTAAAACAAAAGGAGGCGGGAGAAGTGGGGGAGCGTCTGGCGTCGGTGCCGTGGGGACCGAAGTGGAGTGCTGCTCCTCACCTCGTAGGGCTGGGGTCTTAGAGTTACATGGGCGCGTTCTTCTCGTAGAAGTGGTAAGAGAAAGTCTTCGGGTTTCTCATAAAAACCACTGAAATCGAACAGCCTTGAGAGAAGGGAGGGGAACCTGCGGGAAGCCCGAAAACAGCACCCTGATTGCCTATAGTTGAAATGGTATTGATTTGCACACTTTTAATTGGACAATAATCGTGCAGTTTAGTCCCAAGTGTGGTTTTTAGACGATGTCCTATTTACGTTCAGTGAATATATTTGGATGGCAATCTTTGCTGCGGGTTTCTTTGCGGGTTTTATTAAAAGCAAGAGGCCTGATAAAATGAGTTTCTTAATGGGACAGCAGTAGATATTCTATTGCTTTCCTTCATAAGGAATAATCTATGTCATTCTCTTAAATTTAAGAGAAACTAAGATATGAGAGTCAAGGTATGAAACTCATGCACAAAAAAATCTGCCAACATCCCTCCCCAAAGATTTATGTAATGCCGTTTTTTGGTTTTAAAATCCCTCCTTTCTTTTTTATCTTAGAAGAAAATGACTGCATCAGGTGTTGCACTAAGAGTGGAAACTTGGCTCTTATCTACCTGGCATGTGAAAGTGCCAATTCAATGGCTAGAAGCTTGTATTGATTGGATTGAAAAAGAACATATTGGAAGCAATTTGGCTCAGGCTGCTATTAACAAGAAAGTTTTTGAGCAGTGGCTTCTAACAGATCTCAGAGATCTTGAATACCCTGTTCTGCCTGAATTCATTTTAAATGATCCAAAAGGAGAATTGAATGGCTTTTATTCCGTGCAAATTGATTCAGTTGTTGATGTGAGCCAGCCTGCTTATTCCCAGTTGCAAAAAATAAGAGGAAAAAACACTGTAAATGAGGAAGTAACTGCTTATACACAGAGAACCTTGAGGTCATGGGAGGCAAATCCTACTCGAATGCTTCAGCTACAAATGACTGATGGTATACATCATATCCAAGGTATGGAATACCAACCTATTCCTCAACTCCATAGTGGTCTATCTCCAGGTACCAAAGTTATGATACAAGGGAAAGTTGCATTTCGTTTAGGTGTTCTTTTGCTTAAATCAGAAAATGTGAAATTATTGGGAGGTGAAGTTGATAGCCTTCTAGAGACATTTGCTTTGGAGAGAGTGCTTGCCAGATTAATTGGAGAAGAAGACTGCAGTCCTGACATTGTCAGGTCTGATATTGGCAAAAATGAAATTGCAATGCCTGATGATGAATTAGGGCTGTCTGATGAAGAGCTTTTAGCAAGTCTTGAGGAAAATGATGAAATAAGGATAAACGAAGTTCTTCCTGAAAGTGGATACTGTACAAGAAGTACCAGTTTAAATTCTACTGTGCCTTCTCTTCCTCAGAGCTATGGGAACTGCTCACAACAAAGATCCATAGAGTTAATTTCAAGAAATGAAGAACAAACTGTTTCAGTTCAAGAAAATATGGAAGGTGATTTTGATAGATTTTCAATGGACGATGACTTACTTTTAGTAGAAGAGATCCAGCAAGAACAGATACATGTTCTGAACACTAATACTAATATAAATAATCAAACTGTTCAAGAAAAAAAATCTAGTGAAAGAGCAATGTATAATACATTTGAAGAAAGCATGGCAAATTTTACTGCAAATCGCAAAAAACAATATACCCCAAATTTCGATGGCAGTAAGAAATGCTCTAAAATCTCTAATGATGGAGTAATAGTCAATGCAGAATTCAGATTGTGTTCTAAGCAGGTAGAGACGATAGAAATAAAGAATAAATGTCATAAAGTCGATTTGGATACTGCTCCTTTTACATATCTATCTGTTCTATTAAGTAGCAAGCACAGAGATAATAGGACTGTGAAAATCAAAGCATTTATAGTAACTCTTACAGGAAATCTCACAAGCAGTAATGGCTTCTGGAGTGTGACGGCAAAAATATCTGATGGCACAGCTTATCTAGAAGTTGAATTTGCTGATGAGATTCTTACAAGCTTAATTGGCTTTTCTGTGCCTGAAATGAAGCAACTGAAGAAAGATCCTGTCCTGTACCCAAAGCTTAGGGAGGGATTACAGAATTGCCAAACAGAGCTAATAGACCTCTGTTGCTTGATGACTATTGAATTTAATGTTTGCCAGACAAAAGGAACAGTAATAGTTTTGCAAGATATTAATATAAATGATTTGAATCACTTAAAAAGACGCTTAACATTTAGCAGCAGGTTATCTTAAGAAAAACCTGTATTGTAGACTATTGATTATGGTATTACTATTTGAATTCATGTTCAGTTGGATAATGGACAAATATTTTAATAATAGCACATATTTTCTTTAATTCACTCAAAATATGTATTTGCTTTACCAATGTTCAACTACTGGTTTTTTAAACATGAGAAAAATAAAATTAAGAACTTATTCCTAGAGTTTTTCATCCTTTGCACGTCTTACAGTGAGTAGAATGAAGTATATGTATTTGGAATAAACAAGTCAGTCTTCTGTTGTGATTCCCTGTCGTCATCCCCAGCTTTACAATATTGGCATGGCATTTATATCCAATATATTTTGGAAAACTTGGAAGTAATTGAAATTGTTAATTAAAATATTGCTCCGATTTTTCAAGTTTGGAAATTTGATAGCTCAGTCACTTGTGTACCATATTTACATTGTATTTAGGTATTCATACAAATCTTTAGAAATAAAATTTATTCAAAGTAGCATGGAGGTGTTTTATGAATAAATCAGGGTGAAGCCATTTTAACCTGTTATCTGACAGGATATCTCTAACAAAGAATATGATAAATGAGCCAGCTGCAGGGTCAGTGGAGAGGGTGAGAATAATTAGACATGATGAGAGCTGGGTTGAGGATAAGGAAGAAAGCAAAGATAACGAAGGGATGTCTTTAGATTTGATTTGCTACTTTAGTATAAAATACTTCTATTATGCTTTTTGGAAGCTTTAGAAAAAGGAGAATGTTTCTAGCAATTTGCTTTCTACCATAATAAATTATTTGCACTTTAAAATAAGTGTAGACTTGATTTGTCTGCAATAGATTTTTTTAAATGATATAAATTATTTTTTTCTAAAGTTAATATATTTGGCAGTTGTATCTTGACTAAGAATATTCATAGAGAGTTAAAAGATATCCTCAGCAGTGTCATGCATTCTTTTCCATTTTTATTTAAGGTAGTTCTCACTTAGCAGTACAATAGGACTTTTATTTAAATGGGATAAAACTGCAGTTTTATGATAAAGAATTGGGGTGCGATTAAATAGTGACCAGGTGTCCATTGTCTAGGGTATTATCTTCTCTAAGGGATGGATCTATGTTTAGTCAAGATTAGGGAAAATAATGTTTTACCTTATATATGGTACGTATTTTTTATAACCCGGAGCCATTGAAATGCATTGGCACCATAATGTCCTGGTAGTTGTAGTTCTAGCCCATTCGGAACATGCCTGATTGGAAACAGTTGCATAATTAATTTTCTGTTGCCTATAGTCATTCAATGTTAACCCCAATACATTTTAATTATTTTTCAGATACAACCAAATGTTTTAAATCTAGCAAACTGATGGGGAAGGGAAAAATGACAAGTAGCTGCACTATACAGGTTGCATAATGAGGTTTCCAATGGTGAAACTTTCCATTAATGTTTTTATGCCAGGTATAGACATAAAATTTTAGAAGGACGTCCAATTACATAGTGGGGGCTACCAGCTGGTGAAACTTTCCATTAATGCTATTAAAGCAAAACAGAACTCTTCAGTAGCTAATGAAATTGGAGAATAGCGCTATTGATTTTTTTTTAAGTAGAATTGGAAAGTACACTTGAAAAGAATCCCTGGAACTCTTGAAAAAATTCTTAGAATTCTAGATAATTTGCTCCAGAAGGACATCTATTAAAGCATGTTAAAAGATTAAAATGTATCTTAGTTTCCCAAAGTTATATAATGAGGCTGAAAAATAATGGCTTAAGGAGTTCAAAATAAGGTATTTCTTATTGCAATTATAACAAATTTATTCCCTAATCTGAGGTTAATTTTGAAGTGGAACGAAATGTTCAGTATTAATCAGACCAGACATATGTTCAAGTATATATGTTAAACTTTAAAAGATAACCATTGTATACTGCATAGTGGGGGATATTAACTGAGGAAAATTCTGGAAAACAAGTCAAAACTAAGGATTCTTCCGCTGAAGTTTAAAGGAGGCAGGATAGCAGAATTGCTATCACTAAGGAGATGATTCATTCTGAAACTAATAAGCTGATCACTTGCAACTGTATCAAACTGTTTGAGGGTGATTTATAACCACTTTATCATAAACACCTGTAGTTTGTTAAATATTTTTCAGGTGCTACATCATCTTAATCTGTAAGAAAAAAAATAAGGAATTACTAAATTTTGTTTAGCCCACTAAGCGCCACAGAATGTAGAGGCTGCACATTCATGCATAATAAATGTTTAAGCATTAGGTGTAGCTTTTGTTCATTTTGTTGTTTATTAGAGTTAGTTTAGGCTATCTATTTGCTTTAATGCTTTTAGTTGTTTTTATGTTATTTGTATTTTCTATGCCACTCAGAACACTGGAGTTGGGTGGTCAATAAATTTGAATAAACAAATGATTATAACAGAAATAAGGTCTTTTATCTCCCAATTCAAAATAAATACTAACGGAATGTCTTTGGTTTGCAGTAATTTAAACACAAATTTAGAAACAATAATGTAAGAAAATTATTACAATAATGTAATAATTATTAAGAATCATTGCCCCTATTCAAATACAAAAGTACAGTATTAATGAACTTCAATAATGTAAGTACTTATATATTACAAAGAATCGGAATGGAATGGAACTTGGAGATCATTTATTCCAACTCCTTGCCCAATATAATCTTATAGAGCCTGTGAAAATGGCAATTAAACCTTTGATTAAACATATCTAGAAACAGTCTTCCACTGTTCCACTAATGCACTGTTAGGGTTGTTTTCTTTTGCCTGATAACCAATTATCTAATTTAAATCCATTGTTTCTTCTATCTACTGGAAGAAATCTAAGCACTTTGGCTCCAGCTTCTATATAGCAGCCCTTCAGGTACTTTAAGACAGCTACTCAATACAGTCTCCTCCCAGTTTAAATATTCTAATTTTCCTTCCAAACCTTTATCATCATGGTTGGGGATACTTCAATTTAATGACATATTTCCTAAATTGTAGAGCCTAGAATTGTACCAATCCATTTTAGAAAGTTTGATAGTTGATCTTGTAGTTATTTCTAATACAATATAACCCATTTTTTGTAGTTGTATCACAATATTTGCTCATATTCAGTTTGTGTTCTACCAAGATATCCAGATCTTTTTTATCAGCTGAGCACAAATACCCTCAGTTAATGACCCTTTGTTCAGTGATTGTTTAAAGTTAACAGTGGTGCTGAATGAGTGGGACTTATGACCAATCCTCAATGTTCTGGCTGTCCCAACACCCCAGCAATCGTGTGACTGCGATCTGGGCTCTTGGATGTCCAGCTCATACCTAATTATGGTTACAGCATCCCATAGTCATGATTGCCAGATGCAACTTTCTGTGGTGGCTTTCCACAAAAACATCAAGGGAAAATTCATCAGGGAAGTTAGCAAGTTGCTCAGATAAGTCTCTTGCACTTGACAGCAGCCACCCCACTCCACACTGCTCACACACCAGTTCTTCACACACGCTCGTATTGTATATCCTCCCCCACCCAGCAGCAGCCACCCCAAGCAACACTGCTCGCCTTGCACCAGCCCTTTGCACACGTCCCCTACCCTGCAGTAGCTACTCGCCTGACAGCCATCTTACAAGCTGCCTGGAATATGCAACTTCCTGCTGGTAGTCCACTGATCATGCTTGTTGGAAAATGGCAGGGAGTTATGAGGAGATCCTTGCTTAAAATCCTATGAATTTTGCTTAATGACAGCAATAGGTATTGCCAGGATTGCTGTCGCTGAGTGGTATAGGCACGTGATTTCACATTTTACAACTGCAATGGAATGAAAATGGAAATTCTGGTCCCAATTTTCATAGTTAATCAAGAACTAACTTTATGGTCCTTCCAACACATGCTAGTAATTGATTTTTGGTTGAGCTAGTTTTTCCAGCGGATATTGGTGGACTCCTTTCTACATTTTATCTCATAAATATGAAATACATATTTTTTTAAAAATCTTATTGCAGCTGCATAAAAGTGTAACATTAAAAAGTTAAATGTATTTTATGATGTATGGTTATTTTATACATATCAGTGGAAATATTACTTTCCTGTTTGCAACCAACTTCTCTCACTGAAATCAAAGATGAAAGTTTTACTCCATCAGGGATGGTCCTAGCTCAATGGGGGAAAACAAGTCATAGGAAAAGATGGCATATTGCTTTTAAAAACGTTTTGTAAATTTAAGACATAAAGCCATAAACAGCATGAAAATGATGATTTGAAAATTAACTGTCATGCTTTCCAGATGCCATCATAACAGGAAAAACCCATACTATATATTCTCACTTGATTCCAGATCTAGTTCAGCTCCAGAACTGACTAACTAGATAACAGTCACATTGTTAGAAACAGGACTTGATAAATAATGCAGAAACCTCATTTACAAAATAAGGAAACTATATTGAATTTTCACATTCTGTTTTTAAAACAATACATTTATTCCTCTTTCAACATCTTCTGCTGTGCAGCTATAATTTTGGAGTATTATGTCCTGTCACTACTTCATTTGTAAGCATTCAAGGCCTGCTAAGTAATTACTGAATAACCTTCTAATGAAATGCGGTAGCGGATTCTAATTAAATTGAAAAGTTGCTTAACATCTATACCACTTAAAATGAGATTTTGCTAAACATGGGTCATAATGAGTTCTCAGAATACATTACTAACATGTATAAATGCCAGGGTCAACACAGAATATTGCCTCCTGGGTCTACGAGAAGAGGTTTTATAGGCAAAATAAACAAAATAGACCAAAATTAGAACAATATTATACTGCTGGGAAAGTGAAATGATGTGAATAAATATAATGCACGCTAGGAGAATGGCATGCAGCATGAAATTAATCCTACAATAAATAATTCAAAATATATTTTAAAGATAAACAAAATATAAGCCTGTTTATGTATTCCTAAATTACAAAAAAAAAGAGAACGTAAAATACAATTAAAATTAGGGTTGCTATTTTTTTTACCAGTACTGTGGACATTTTTCACACACACTATATTCTGCCAATTTTAATGAGTTATTTCTATATTGTACCTATACTATGCTGAACCTATACTATGCTGAATAATCACTGTTTGGAGAATTTTTAACTGTGGCCAAAGGCTTTTGGGCTCCCAATGCAATATTTATCTCCCAAATATATACTTATTTCCTTTTTGTTTGATAATGCTTACCAAATTAGTTCGAACTATGCATATTGTGGAATGTTGAGCCATAACAGCCTAGCTCCCTAGCCAGGGTAGCCTGTTTCAAGAGAAGCAGCAAACTTTAACTCAGTAACATCCAAACTGCAGATTGTTTGCCAAGGTATTACTATAATTTCCCACAAATTACCTATTGTAAAATGTCTTTCATATTCATTTTTAAAACATTAATCTCTCTTCTCCCACCCCCAATTCTTAAAATAAAGATGCCAAATAAATAATACTCTGCCATCTTTACTACAACAGGGAAACACAAGGTAAACACACACACACCAGATCTAAGAGGACTAGTCAGATATGTGTCTGCACTCCAATCCCACACAATGCATCTTGCAAAAAGGGTCCTCAAAAGCATCATAAAATGAAGTTTATTATGCATAACCTTTGATAAAATCTGATCTATAGGTGTAGCTATTGGTGGCCATCAGGATTTTGTGTAGGATCTCTCTAAAAGTTGCCACTGACTTTTAATTAAGAGAGAAAATTACTAACCATGTGGGAAGGAAGAATTATTTTATTAAGCCTGCTCTAATATTAAATTAAGCCGATTTTTTAATGTCCTGGTCCATTTCTTACCTACATCTTTGTCTTACCTACATCTCTTTTGTCAAGTGCAGCCCTCAGCATGCCAGTCAAATGCCAATTGTAACTCTAGGCCTGAAAAGACTCACTAATTGACAAATTCCCTGACTCAGTGCCTGCAAGCTAGAGTAAGGAAGAGACAAATACCAGTGACCAAAGAGTTGCAAAATCTATCCAGTAAGAAGTTTTATCATGTTCTTCAAAAGACTTTTTTGCAACAAGAGTTGCTT